GGTCCACCAACACAGTAACAGATGTGTTTTGAGGTTCCACGTACACCAACACAGAAGTTGTGAGAGCAGTGCTTAGATACTCTTTCTTGTTCACAGTTTTGAGCTTTATACTTATTTCTAGTTTCCACAGTCCTATAACTTGTATATCTTTAGTCTTATAATTATGTTTTCACCCATTTTTGGGTATTTGAATTAAATATTTCATGAAAGAGTCTTCAAAAAAAAATAACATTTGTAATTGTAGTTACTGTACTTAAAGAGTAATTTCCAAAACATTACTGTGGTGCAAAGTATATCTGTCTATTTCTTCTGACATACGTGTCTTCAAATGAAAATTTTTTTAGAAACCAAAGAGAAATTGATGGAAATTGAGCATTTTAGATTGATATTATCTTGTTAAGAAGTCTGTGAGGTTTCCCATAGGATCACTTTGTTTTGTTTTGTTTTTTAGACAGGGCCTCGCTATGTAGTTCAAGCTGGCCTTGAACTCACTATGTAGCCCAGGCTGACCTCGAACTCACAGCAATCCTCATGCCTCAGCCTCATGAGTTCTGGGGTTACAGGTGTGTGCCACCACACCCAAGTTGTATCACATTTTTAAATACCGAAATGGACCAGAGACAAAGTATTTAGGGAGTTGTTCCTTCTCTTTTTATGCATCAAGTGTAATACATTATTTCCACACAGAGCAATCGCGTCACGTTGAAAATGGATGTCTCACACACAGAGCACTCACATGTAATCGGCAAAGGGGGCAACAATATAAAAAAGGTGATGGAAGAGACACGGTGCCACATCCACTTTCCAGATTCCAACAGGAATAACCAAGCAGAAAAGAGCAACCAGGCAAGTTGTCTTTCCACATGGACTTTTGGACTGAAGTGCAGACTTACTGTTCAGAATAATATCTTTTCTGAGAGATGAGAGCAAAAAATGTAATCATTGAGCTGACATGCAACACAGATCGTATGGCTACGTATGGCTCCCTGTGAAGAGACTGAAGACACTGTGCTGCCTTGAGTCTGAGTGGGGCCTACGCTTGATCTCTACATGCTCAGTGGGAAGCAGGGAGAGTGTGGTAGTCGCCAAATAAAGCCCTGAAGGAAAGGCCAAGGGGGTGTGTGTTCATCAGGAAAGGGGCTGGGAGCTGCCCTGGACCAGGAGCCTGTCCAGGGCCTGGACTCTGTCTGCAAAGGCAGCAGCTCAAGCAGCAGCAGATCCCCTTCTGGGAAGCTGCTCCCACACTCAACTGAGTTATATCCCTCTCTGTACAGTTTTTCTAGTTCTTCTGTTTGGAACTCAGCTGTCCATATGCAGGCACTTACAGTACTTCGGGAACAGATAGTATTCTTTCCTTATTTGGAAATGTTTTCTCTTCTAAACTAATCACATGATGAGACGCTGCCAGCCACAAAGATGACATCTTTTCTGTACAAGCACTTGTGGGAACACTGGGGTGTATGCATAAGAGATTAGACCATGCTACAAGGCCAGGGCGTGAAGGAGAACATCTAACAGCTGCTGTGGCGTGAACATCAGCCTTCAGCAGTACTCTGGTGCTCCTGCATCCACACCAGATGTGACACCAACTTTTTTTTTGGTAGCAGGAATCACACTCATGACCTCAGGCTTGCCAGGCAAGCATTTATGCCACTGAGCTATATCCCTGGCCTAAAATTTCACTTTTTTTTTTTTTTTTTGGTGCCTGGGAATTGAACTCAGGACTTTGTACTTGCCAGGCAGGCAGTTATGCTCCTGAGCTATATCCCCAGCCCGACACCAACTTTTTAATCTGGATCACAGGAAGGCTGAGGGGATCTCAGGTGAAAGCTGGAAAAAGTGGGTTTTGGGCAGTGATTATTTGCTGCTATAGAAGAATTTCAGTATTGGAGAACCCAGTGCAATGATGGCGAGGCTTGTGACATTTTCAATGATACACAACAGCCCACTCTAGCATGCGTGCCCTAGGCTTACCACCACTGACCGAATGTAGCCGTATGATTGCATGTCGCTAAGTATCTGGTATGTATAGTTTCAGCAAAAGGGAGAAAAATATCATGAAAAAAACTAATTATAAAGAGGGCAGGAAGACCTCACTGGGGATATGGGGACTGTGGAGTTCCAGTGCAAGGTATGATACAGATGAGTTGACAGAAATCACCCGAGGACCTCATTAAAATGCAAATTCTGGCTGCATTGGGGCCTGGAAGGCTTTATTTCTAATGAGCTCCTGATTTGATTGTATTTGTCCCTAGACCACACTATAAGTAGCAAAGATGTAGATAACTAGAAAAGCAGATGTGAGTTTGAGTAAAATAGATCTAACTATATATATATTTTTTATTTTTGCAGGTGTCTATAGCAGGACAACCAGCAGGAGTAGAATCTGCCCGAGTTAGAATTCGGGTAACTATTTCTTCTTTAGTCGTATAAATTGATGTCACAACATTTGCATTGTAAAGCTTTAACATGTTACACTGTATCACTTTGTAGCCAGTGTCGTCATCAACTAGGAAGTAGTAGTCAAGGTTATTTTCACATTCATTCTGGCAACCATTATCTAAATTATTATGGTTGATATTTTATCAGCAGCAGTAAAAAAAGGTTCTAGATTATTTATGAATTTCTTTCTATTGAACACATTTCTCTGATGCTGGATTTCATCTGACTCAGTTTCTCTGATTTTTTTAAATGGTCAAATAGCCACTTTTGGAAAAATGCCACAGACAGTGTGAGTTACAACCACTCAAATTTTGCGAAAGGCTCTTGTTTAAAAAACTTAACATGGTCTGCGTAAACCTTACTAAGTAAGGTAAACCATACTTTAGGTTTACCATGAAAGCAATTAGCGTTATAAATCTACCTTCAGAAAAGAGCAGATGAATTTTACATATCTGTAAATGTATAATGGTTTAATGATCTGCTTGCTGTTCTTGTAATTTTGTTTTAGGAGCTGCTTCCTTTGGTGCTGATGTTTGAGTTACCAATTGCTGGAATTCTTCAACCAGTTCCCGATCCTAATTCCCCCTCCATTCAGCACATATCCCAGACATACAACATTTCAGTGTCATTCAAACAGCGTTCCCGAATGTATGGTGCTACTGTCATAGTGCGAGGGTCTCAGAATAACACTAGTGCTGTGAAGGTAAATGACCTAAGTAGTTCCTAATGTCCTAAGTGTACAAGTCATGAAAATTTTGTTTTTAAGGAATGTGAGACTGATTGTTTTATTTTGTAATTTTCATTCATGTTCTTTGGGTTTATGGAATATACTATATTTTCCCATAGCTGTTAGAAGTGCAGTAGACATGGGCAGTTGTGTTTCATAGGGTTATTTCCCTCCGCCCTTTCCCGTTAGGAAGGAACTGCCATGCTGTTAGAACATCTTGCCGGGAGCTTGGCATCAGCTATTCCTGTGAGCACACAGCTGGACATCGCGGCTCAGCATCATCTCTTTATGATGGGGCGAAACGGGAGCAACATCAAGCATATCATGCAGAGAACAGGTGCTCAGATCCACTTTCCTGATCCCAGTAATCCACAGAAGAAATCCACTGTCTACCTCCAGGGCACCATTGAGTCTGTCTGTCTTGCAAGGCAATATCTCATGGTAAGGTTATTAAAATTAGTGCTGGAGGTTTATATGAAACTTTTTTTGATATATTGACCATCGTGGCACTCGTACTCTTTTAATGTAGACTAAACACAGAAGCAGTTACAGTGAAATAATCGACTGTGTCCTGTGGCATGGATAGACAGCAGTTATTTTTGTCAGACATACCATACTAATGTGCAATTTGCACTTAACCAAAAAGTTTTCCATTTACACAGAAAAGTATAAGTACTAATTAAATTTTATCCTCTAAGATACTCTTGGTGGCTTGAAATATTTGTATACTTCATACATTTCTGATTTAATTAAATAATTACAATTTAAGCTGTAAGTTTGAGTATTGCCTATTAAAAGAAACCCAGGAGGTTTATAGTTCAATGCTGCTTCTGAGTTAGAGTTTGCAACATTTATTTCCTTCCTATGTTCATTTAAAATCCCACAATGTAGGTTGATCTATAGTAACAAATTAGATGGACGTATTGCTGGGGTTCCAAGTATTCTTATTAGAAACACCACTGTATTCTCTTGTTCAGTGCTTGACCTTTAATGACATTCAAATCAGTCAGCATCCGGTGTGACCTTTGCTGCTATTAACTTGCAGAATTCGTTTTGGAGAAACTTTCAGAAAATCCAGATTTGTATTGTTGATTCCATTCTGACAGATGAAAACTTGTTCTAATCATGAAGGATTATAATACAATTTTAAGAACTTTATTTTTGGCACATGTTTTCTTTCAGGGACAAGTTTATTTTATCAGGCTATTTCTAGCATACTACCAGTCAGGTAGCGTATGTGTATCTATGAACTGTTAGAATTACTCTTCATGTTTTCATAAGTTCTTTAGATGTAATTTTTTGTTGTTTGTTGGTTTTTTTGGTACTGGGAATTGAACTCCCCAGGATCTTGCACTTGCCAGGCAGGTAGTGTGCCACTGAGCTGTATCCCCAGCCCTTAAATGTAACTTCTAAGTAAAGTTTAAATATTCTCCAGCATTCTGAGCAGTTATGGGTTCATATTCATACTGTGATCATACCTGTCAAAAGTACAAATGTGCAGTGAGGCATATTACACAATATTGAAAGAAAGGAGGGATATATTAAAAGGTTTTTCCTGTATTCTGCTCACCTTTTCACATAGTACCATCCCTAGAAAAATCATTTTTACCAACAAGTGAAATGACACATATTTTAATATGTTTAACATTAACTTCTCCTTATAGATATATAAGAACTCAAACAACCAGTGGCCGAGGTGTAGGACCCCACACATCCGAAAGCATGTTATGTGGTGCCTGAACTTAGTAGATTAGAGACAGGAAGAAAGTATCCGAGAAAAAAATATAACCTAAACTCTGCAGTGCTGGCGAGAGGTAGGCAAAGGAAGGGACAGTAGCAACAGTTCACTTCTGGGAGGAGGTATAGCTTGTGCTACATCAGAAGGGAAGAGGGACTTGGATTGGTGAGGAAGCCTCTGATGAGTAGAGACAGGTACAGGATCCCTTGAAAAGATGATAAAAAACTGCACTGCCCTGGAAGAAGGGGCAGGCTGACAGATGCACAAATCTGTGTGGAACAAGCAAGGTGGGGCCAAAATGAGTTCTTTTAAACATGGGCTTTAGATGCAAGTCTTTGTGCAAGAGCACAGTACTGGTCCCCTTGATGTGGTTGAGAATCTCATTTCTACTATCACCAATAAAACTGAAGTCAAAGAAGGAAGGCATTTTCCAAGATGGAGAGTGAGCAAAAAAAAAAAAAAAATACAAGTCTCAAACCAGAAACTTCAGGTATATAATTTCTTCTTCAACACTATTTCCACACCAGCCCTTCAACCTATGGAAAGGTAGATAACTTAGCTTTAATACTTTGTTTTGTTCTTTAAGTCTGTAAAATACTGCATTATTTATAAGTATGTTCAATTAGCAGGTCTTGAAATGATTGAATCCTGTGTGTTCTGTTGTGACATTTTCTAGGGTTGTCTTCCTCTTGTGTTGATGTTTGATATGAAGGAAGAAATTGAAGTAGATCCACAATTCATTGCTCAGTTGATGGAACAGCTGGATGTCTTCATCAGTATTAAACCAAAGCCAAAACAGCCAAGCAAGGTTGGTTAAGAGTCTGGACCCAGAGAGTTATGTATCATGCGTATTCTGTGCAGTTTTATTTTATATATGTGATGTGTGTATTTGCATGTCCATGGAACTAATACTCTAATATATAACACCATTATACATTTAATTATATCAATATACATTTGTAACAGCATTCATTATTGGTCATTTTCTTTATAAATTTGTTGGCTTTAGAGTTTATTTTTTAGTAACTGTCATTTTTTTATAGATACGTACATGCAAAAGACTGAGTAAACTTTTTCCCTTGAATTTGAAAATCGGTAGCCTTTAGCTTTTTTGTTGTTACCAGAGAGTTGATCAGGTTAACCAGTGTGTTATGTGTGTATGTGCATGTGTGTGTACGCATCTAGTGCAATCAAAACTATACTTAAAGTTCTTACTCTATCCTATCCACTGTGGTCACCTTAGGATTTAAAGAACCATTGTCCCTTCTTTTTCAGAAAGACTTTAATGCTTTCTTTGAATCTCTCCCCTGAGATGTTACAAAATTTCAGCAATTACATGTACAGGAAAAGAAATTAGTGGTATAAATCTAATATTAAATGCTAGTGAGAATATGAGGGAAAGGAATGTTCCCAAATTAATACTGTAAAAATCTGCATAGCCACTTTGAAGAGCACCTTGGGATCATCTGCTTGCACTGAGAATATTGATTCCCTCACCGCAACCATTCTGCCTCTAGTTATGCCCGCTGCAGACACCTTTGCACCAGGAGTGAGACGGCAAGATGGTGCTGAATGGAAAACTCAAGTTGCATGACAGCATCTACTAAATAGCATTTATGTGTCTATATAAAGCGCTGTCTGGAAGGGTACACACAAAATCCACGAAGGCCGGAAAAAGGGCTTAGGAAGTAAACAAGGGGAATGCTCAGTTCCTTCAGCAAAACTCAAAAACTAAAATTCAAACCTAAATACATAGATGCTAAATACATAGATGCTGTATTAACTTTACTTTTCCATGTTTGAAAAAAAAAACACTTCAAGGTAAAAGAATTTATAAAATGTAGCTGTGTTAAGTTTATGAAAAGTTTAGGAGAAAAAAAATTTCTGAAACAAGTGGAAACCTCTCATGTGCTATGGGAACTAAAACACCGAACAGTTGTGGCTTCTATTTTTTAAATTTCTAAACTATAAACCTGTTCTATATCCTATATAACGGCTTATTTTTGATATGTATTATATATAATATTATGAAATAATATATTTACTATCAACCTGAAGAAAAACAAGTGTTCTTGAAAAGAAAACTGTGAAGAAAAATAGTCCTGATTCTGTAAACTCGATATAATGAGTTTAAAGTTAGAGAAGAGAATGGATCATGAAACTTTATACTTGGCTAATCTGTAGGATGAAATGATGAAGGCAGAAGAGATGTTTGAGTACTTATCCATATAAAAATAGACAACAAGAAACTTCTAGTTCAGTAAGAAATAGCAGGGGGCTGGGGATTTAGCTCAGCGGCACAGTGCCTGCCTGGCAGGCGCAAGGTTGAGAGTTTGATTCCTGGTACCGGAAAAAAAAAAAAAGGAAAAAAGTAAGAAATAGCAGATGTCAAGGACAAATTTTAGATGAGAACCCCAAATCCACACAGCATCCCTGGACCGCTGAATTGTGCCTCCCTGGCCTGATTCCTATTACCCTTTAACTGGTTTCTCGGCATGGTTTTCTTTACTATTCACTGGAAGCGCATCCCCTTGTGTTCCTGTTTTCAATTTACTATATGAGTGCATTGAAGGGATAAAGATTTATTTGGATTTTGCTTTTTTTACCATAGCTTTGCTTTAGCTGTGCCATTAATGAAAAATAGTGGTGCCTTAAGGTTTATTAGTTAGCTAGTAGATCATAAATGTCAAACATAAGTGAGTGTTACTGTGTCATCTGTATAACGGTTACAAGTTTGGTCTGTGAGGTGGTGGGTGGGGGTTAAAGTAGAGACAGGAGCTGTGGAGAGAGACCGAGTCCTGGTCTTCTCCTGCCTCCCTACAGGTGTGTCATAACCTTTATTAAATCTCTTAGCTTCCTGAATATGAACGGTGGCTCCCATTCCAGAAGTTTTGGGTGAGAATTGGGACATTCAGGCAGCTTTCATCCTGGTCCATGGAAGACAAGACACATGTTATAAATGGTGACTAACATTTTGCAGTTTTACCAGAAGGGGTAAATTTAAGAAATGAGTGGTTAGAATTTGCAGCTTATTTTAAAGCAGCACTAATATATCCCCTGCGTGGCATTCTTATTAGCATTTTCATTTTCCACCCACCTCCGTTCACTGTAGACTACTCGCATGTCACTTTTTTTTTCCCATTATGTGTTTTCATAGTCTGTGATTGTGAAAAGTGTTGAGCGAAATGCCTTAAATATGTATGAAGCAAGGAAATGTCTCCTCGGACTTGAAAGCAGTGGGGTTACCATAGCAACCAGTCCATCCCCAGCATCATGCCCTGCTGGCCTGGCATGTCCCAGCCTGGATATCTTAGCTTCTGCAGGCCTCGGACTCACTGGACTAGGTATAAAATTTATTATTACAGTGCTTCTCAGTCACTGGGGAAATGCTTATCTGGTCCCCTTACCTTTCTTTCTACCATTTGGATCTGCATTTAATGCTTTTTTTTTTTTTTTTTTTAACTTCTTCTTTAAACTGTTAGTATCAGGTAAAAAGCAACAAATTTGAATCTGTCTATTCTTTTTTTCTTCCTTCTGTTAAGCTCTGTGGATTTTGGTTACCCAGATTCTTCCTATGTTGGCATAAATAATCAAAGTCTGACTTTTATTTTCATTGGCTGTGTTTGTTCTTCTAAATTAAGAATGCCATTGAGGTTGAAGTGAGCAGGCTGACTATAATTTATGTTTGTTCTCTCTTGCATTTGCAATATTGCCATCAGTCCCTAGAGATAAAGATTATCCAGTTTGCTTTTGAAAAGTAATTGCAAATCTGTAGGAGGGGTGGGGAGCAGAGAGGGGAAAACAATCAAAATGCCACCCCCAGCGTTTAGGCCTGCCATGCTCAGGCACAAAGGAAGCCTGGCCTGCAGCCACCAAGGCGAGCAAATGGACTTGTATTCATATCTAAAGCAAGGAACAGAAAGACGAAGGAATGATTTCACCTCAGGGCTTTAGTTGTTAAGAAAGCGGTGTGAGCCGCCATTAGTCACAGTGTTGTGTGCAGCCTCTTCTGTGTCTGCCTCTTCACAGGCTGCAGTTAGCTGCTCCCTTACAGCTAGACTAGGGTTGCCACTTTCTTGCGCATTTCTCAGCTGCCTTTATGTAAAAAGCTCATGCAGTGGTCCAGGCGAGTCCTTCTTTCTCATTCAGTGCTGATTTGAGACATAAATAAATACTCAGAGCACTGTTTAAAATTTATTTTTTTCTAATACTTGGTTTTGCTTTTAAAAATGTAATATGATTATAGCAAGATTAAGACTCCAAATAGCCATTCCTGCACACTGTTCCAATAAAGAAGGATATTTTTCTCAGTCCCTAATCTACCAGAGATAGCTCTTCCAGAGGGACCAGACGAGAGTCATAATAGGATAGCAGTGCGAATGAGCCAGGAGATGGCCATCAGGTAACTTAGCAGAAGTCTAGTTTGTCTTGCACAAGCGAGAAAAAACACCAGCAAAGATGCAGATTTACTGAATTTTGAAAATGTTTTCATGGCTGTACCTACTCTGTCATACTGAATATTTTATGTGTGTTCCTGGAGACATGTATACACATGCACGTTTTATTTTAGAACGTATTTGAATGCCCAGAGAGAAATTTCATTATTTAAGTCAAACATTGAATTCTTTAAGCTGGAAACAAAACAAACAAACAAAAAAGGTATTTTTCTGAGAGAAGTTTCATTATTGGGATGGAGCCAAAGTAATTCGCATATGGCTTCTGACATATAAAAACGATTTCTGGTAGCTCAGCCTATCTACAAAGGGACCACGTGAAAACCACTCTACCACAAGCAAACGTTCCCTAGTCACCACTCAATGTGAGTGACTTGAAAAACATTTGTTTGGAAGCTGATGACAAGAAAGGCAGAAAAATAAAAAGAAGTGTTGAGCTGATCAGAATTCTGTCATCTGGCTAGTTGATGTGAATGTAAAGTACCTGGTGGTGCTCAGTGACCCTGACTGCTGTCCTGGGTTGGGCATATCTGTCTTTCCTTTTTGGATAGCATCTATTTTTTGGTAAGCCGCTTCCTGTGTTTGAGTTGTATAAAGACATGTTTCATGTGAATATTTGAAAGAAAACCTGTCACTCGTATTTTATAATTAGAAAATATCAGATTATATTGATATGCATTCCAGCTGGCCGTATTGGTGCTGCCTTTATTTTAACATCTTAACTCGTATATATTGACTTCACATTCCTTACTACAGGTCTCTTGGGGCCCACCACCTTATCGCTGAACACATCAACAACTCCCAACTCACTCCTGAACGCTCTGAATAGCTCAGTCAGTCCTCTGCAGAGTCCGAGTTCTGGAACACCCAGCCCCACTTTATGGGCACCTCCACTTGCTAATACGTCAAGTGCCACAGGTCAGCATTGTTTAATTATAATCAAAGACGTGTGTTCTTAGATGGTATTGTTTTTAAATGAAATCTACAAAGGATTCCGTTTCCTTAGGGAAAAATTTTGGTTCAAAGCATGCTCCAACCAAACAGAGATTCCCTGATGTGTAAATTAATTAAAATGAAGCACAGCAAAGCTGTGAATTTTTCATACCCGTGAAATACAGTCTCAAGCGTGACCAGCGATGAGGAGCGGTGGGAGGTGCAGGGAGTGGTTGCGGAGGCGTGTGCAGGTTCCGGACCTGGAACTGGGAAGCGCAGGCTCTGCTTACACCAGCTGGCTTGGTAGTCGTGTGCTCGGGCAAGAGGCCGCTCATGTCAGCATCTGTGCAGCGAGGGACTTCATTTAAGGTTTTGTCTCATTTTAATGTTCATTTATGGTTTTATAGTAACATTAAACCTATTACAGAGAGATGTGAAAATTGAATTTTCTTCTGCATTTGCAACCACAAAATTGATGTTTTATTGTTATTAATAATACGTAGTTGGTGCTCAGATTGTCCTAATGTCTGTCTTTGTGAACTGTTTCTGTAGGTTTCTCTGCAATCCCACACCTTATGATTCCATCTACTGCCCAAGCCACATTAACCAATATCTTGCTGTCTGGAGTGCCCACCTATGGGCACACAGCGCCATCTCCCCCTCCTGGCTTGACGCCTGTTGATGTCCACATCAACAGTATGCAGACAGAAGGCAAAAAAATCTCTGCTTCTTTAAATGGACATGCGCAGGTAATACCCTCTGCTAGAATGATCTGATCCGTACTCTTGGTGGGTGGTAAGTTATTTGAAACATGTTTCAGTCTTTACTGGAAATAAGTTTTACGTTGTAAAATTGTGACTATATCTGTATGTTATTTTCTGTTATTTCAGTCTCCAAATATAAAGTATGGCGCAATATCCACTACATCACTCGGAGAAAAAGTGCTAGGTACAAATCATGGTGATGCATCCATCCAGACGACTGGGTCAGAGCAGGCTTCTCCCAAACCCAGCCCTGCGGAAGGTCAGGAACTAAAACTGTCCTGCTAACTGTCAGTCTGGTTTGTTACTTGGATAAAGGGGGTTGTGGAGAGTCTGCGTGGGGAGTTGAGTTGGTTTAACTGACCAACTATGACTCATCCTACCTCGACTATGTGGAAAGACATCTTGAATGAAATTCCAGAGAACATGGTGAAAAATGAAAAAGTAATTACCACAAAACATTACTTTCCCATTATATTGGACCTTCCTAAAGTATTCTATATAAATACATATAAAATATATACCCATTCTCTTTCTGACTGTCTTGTAAATATTCTTTCATCTCCTTTACCCCGAACACTCTTTATTATTAAAAAATAGGAGGGTCTTCTCTTCAACTTGAGCTTTGTTTTGACCTGCATTGTGAAAGTGTGCTCTTTGCAGCTAAAAGCTGTTACTCCTGGTCAGGTTAATAATATCTCTGTAGAGTTGGGTTCTGTTTTTCTTTGCTGTTGTTTTCCATTACAGGTGATTGTCAACTACAAGCTGTGTTGTTAATCCCCACCCCATCTTCTCCCTTGCAGGGTGTAATGATGCTTTTGTTGAGGTAGGCATGCCTCGAAGTCCTTCCCATTCTGGAAATGCTGCTGACTTGAAACAGATGCTGGGCCCCCCCAAAGTCTCCTGTGCCAAGAGGCAGACAGTAGAGCTGTTGCAAGGCACAAAAAACTCACACTTACAGTATGTATCTGAACCCTAAAAGCCATGATTCTTCTAAAGGAAATGTATAACAGGCCAAAGTTGTTGTAAATTTAGTTAGCACTGTCTAGCTCAGGGCAGATTCGAGCTCATCTGTAGGCTTTTCCACTTCTCTTCATGATTATCTTTTTTTTTTATAAAAAGAAATTATATCTGGTAATTTTCACACTTGCCTATATCTTTTATAATCTCTCCCTATTTAGTTGAGTTTATTGTATCTGTTTCCTCTAAATCATTTCTACTGCTCTGAAATTGACATTCTCTCTTCTTTTTGGTAATCAGCAGGGGCAGTTTTGTTTTCTCCTTTTTTGCTGTTAGAAATTTCCCCACTGTGAACTCTCCTTCGTTTGGCTTTGAATTTTTCTTAAGCTATTGCTCCTTTTTTTCCAGGGTAGCTAATTGCAAACATTTAATAAATACTTGACAGTATCATGCTTTTATTTATTTCAGATCACATTGAGTATAAATGAATAAAGTTTATTAGGCGTAACTCCTTACCATAGCGCAGTCACCAGTTTATCTCTTCTGCCTTCTTCCTGCTTCCTTTCTTCCACTCTTTGGTGAAAGGTTTTGCTTCTGTCCAACCCATCCACTTGCTTTCCTCTACTTTGTCAGTAGTCTGTCTCCTTGCAGAGTATCTCTTTGCAAAGATTAGTATATGTAGTATTTCCTCCTCTTTAAACCAGAAACATTTTGCTTTACAAACTCTGTTCTTGTTCAGTTCTGTTCTACCTGTCTTTGTGCACGTGGCAGTGATACCCAAAGTTAACATTCTGTAGTACAAGTAGAGACATGCCTTTGCTTTTTTTCTGTCTGTTGAACCTTGATGCATACATGCTTTTCATTCATCCTTGAGCTTGTTCTGGACCTTTATCTGCCTCCCATCTGGACAGAGCTGCAGCCTGCAGAGTAGTCTCCTGCCATAAGGCTCTCTTCAGCACTTTCTCTCCCTCTCTCTCTTCCTCTCTCTCTCTCTCCCTTCCCTTCCCTTCCCTTCCCTTCCCTTCCCTTCCCTTCCCTCCCCTCCCCCTGGCTCTCTCACTCTCACTCTCACTCTAGTATTTTTTTGGAAACTTGAGTCGATCTGGTCACATTCTCGTCAGCAAGCACCAAAGATCTACATCACCTGCTTCCTTTCCTTATGCCCTTTCTTCCCTCTGGTCTCCTGGCCTTTGGCACCAGTGCATTTGCGATGCCCCTTAATTCCCTGTTCAGGTCTCCTCTGTGAAGTTTCTGCCAATTTTTTTTTTTTTTTTTTTCCTCCGGTACCGGGAACTGAACTCACGACCTTGCGCTTGCCAGGCAGGCGCTTTGCCGCTGAGCTAAATCCCCAGCCCCTCTGCCAATTTTTGTTAAGCAAAATTCATTATTCGTACTTTTGTATTCCCACTGCCCTTTCTAAATTTCTTTAAATTCCTCTGGCACAGCAGTTGAATAGTTGAGTGAGCACAGCTATGAACAAATGAATAACTCAGCTCTTTGACTGATATTATATATCCCCTTTCTATTTGAGCCTAATGGTGCAATTGGTTTTGAACTTGAAGTGCGTGTGTACTGCATATATCAAGGGTTGTAACTCAGGTATGCTGTTCATTATGAGAAGTACTTTCGTGCTCTGTCCATCCTTCTGAATAGGCTTTTGGAGAGTATTTCTTATTTATTTTTTGCCTTTGTTATACCATATACCAATATGTTATACCATATTCATGCATTTCACACACATGAATTGAATAATTTTTATGCCTTCAGATTTATTCAAATTCTGTTCAGACTTTATATGCCCAAATCATTGGTATCTCATTGATGTGTAAAAATTCGAAATCTTGTCTGGACATCTGTTATTTCTATACTGCACACAAGATACCATGTATATTGTATATAATGTACATGCATGTGTATTATGAAGTGGTTTCAGTCTCTAGTCCTGGATTCAGAGTGCTTGAATTTGAAGTAGTTCAGGCTGGTCTTGAACTCACTATGGAGCCAACACTGACCTTGAATTCTTGGTGATCCTCCTGCCTCAGCCTGAGACCTGGCATTACAGAAACGCACTACCAGACCTGGCATCCAATACTACATTCAAGGGGGGAAAACAAAGATTTTCCTCTAAAATCAGGCATAAGACAAAGGATGTCCACTATCACCCCTCCTGTTCAGTATAGTACTTGAAACTTTAGTTAGAGCAATCAGACAAGACTAAGAAATAAAAAAGAGCCGGGCATAGTCAGCACTCCGGAGGCTGAGGCAGGAGGATCATTGTGAGTTCAAGACCCACCTAGGCTTCACAGTGAGCTCAAGGCCAGCCTGAACTGCATAGGCGAGACCCAGTCTCAAAAAAAGACAAAAAAAGCCCCCAAAAAACAAAACAAAAAAACCAGAGTGCCGAAATTCAAATTCTAGCTGTTGCACTTATACTGGAGGTCAGGCTTGGACAGGGTACTTCCCTCATCTGTGAGATGGGGAAGCGAACAGCATCTGTGTCATCGTTTGTCTGTAAAGACTAAGTGAGGTGAGACATATAAGCAGTTCATGACGGTGAGCATGTAAAGTAAACAAGGCCATAGGAAATATTCAGTACATTTGCACACATAGTGGAATGTTAAGTTCCGATCTCTGTCCACAGCAGCACTGACAGGTTGCTCTCAGACCCTGAGCGGAGCGCTGCAGAAAGCCCACTGGCTGACAAGAAGGCTCCAGGCAGTGAGCGCGCTGCGGAGAGGGCTGCAGCTGCCCAGCAGCACTCTGAAAGGGCCCGCCTTGGCCCGCGCCCACCGTACGCCAACATGCAGGTAATGGAAGTGGAACAGGAGAGCCGCTCAGGTGTGGGTGCAGTGCTTGGGGTGTGAGAACTGAGTGGGTTTTTACAGTAGTGTAGGAATGAGCATTTCCTTCTGTGCTGTGGCCCAGTAGAATTTGTGTACGTAGTTAGGAATATAGTAGTTAGGAATTGCTGTTGCTACGGATGTTATAAATGAAATGTAGGATTTAAGGTTAAATGGGTTGAACTTTCTGAAAATATAATATTAAAAATGGTATAAAGTGATTTGTGTCTCTTTTCAGATAGCGTTATTCATGTTACTTGAAAACAATTTAGGTAAATATAAGAGACTGTATTCCAAAGTACTACTCCCTTGTGACATCCACTTGGATGAAAAGATGTGATATTATTCTGTCTATGGAAGAGAGAAGATAAATTTGTCTGTTGCCATTTTGTGGTGGCTCTTAAAATTAATGTAAAGTTTTAATTTTTTGAAAGTAGGTGCTGCATATTATTGACGCTTCTGTCAATTCACAGATTTTTATGGTAATTTTAAACACCATCCTCAAAAGGGTCTATATATCCATTTTTAAAAGATTAAGTTAATTACTCAGAGTAAGTTATTAATCATGAAATGGAGAAATCTGACTTTCATGTAGGTCATAATACGGAAGATAGGGATTTTGTGCTTTTAGAGATTCTTATAAATATTTTAGTTTTCAGGACCAGAAGTCCTGAATAGACTTACCTACCTGATAGTAAGGGATTTATCTCCCTCATACCCCTACCTCCAAGAACAGGAAAAACTTCACAAAATTCTCAAAAACCTCTCTCCTAGGTATGTCAAAGAAATTAATCTCTGGAACTAAGTTGTGTTGTTGTCATTCCAGTGTGAACTGCAAATCCATCTTCCTTGTCTTTTTTTAATCATTCACATCTGAACATTTTCATGAATTTTTAGGTGATTTTTTAAAGTCATGGCCTTTGTGATGAAACAGTGGTTTAGAAAGGCATTTACGTCACTTACTCTAAAAGATTTATTTTCAGCTGATATAAATTGAAATTCTCTGACTTAACTGTCAAATCCCCATAGATTCCCTGTGTAGAGTTTGTTCTCTTGTGGTTCTTCTTTTCTGTCAAATTTTTGCTTTCAGTAAATCAGTTCCACGTATCTTTCTGTTAAGATAGAGGAGGATGCTCTTGGTGGTATTGTTAGAACTTGAGAGCATAGATGTGCTTGTGCCCTCAGCAAATAGCTGACCCCTAAAATCAGTGAGAATAGACAGAGCATGTACTGGAGACAGAATGACAAGACTTCTGTCACAGAGTACAGTCTGTCTCCTGGTGACTGTTGGGGTGCTGTATCTCTTACTCTCTTCTCCCACTTAATTTACTTTCTAGTTTATTTTAGTTACTTCTTTTATGCACCTCCTAAGACTGTGAGTCACTGAAGACATAGATTGTTTTTGATTTATTACCGTTTTCTTTCCCAGAGCTCGGCACAGTTTTCTAACCAATAGGCACTCAATACATACTTATTGAACAAATGAATTTAGATTTTTCTCTGCAGTTAGTTAGCCCTTGTACATTGATAATTAAAAGTTGGTTTTTAAATTTTAATGACATTTTAGGCCTAGCATTTCAAAAAACATGAACACTGCTATCTAAAAAATCTAAATCTCCTGATTTACTGTTGTGTTTTTAATTATGACACTTCCATGCTAGTTTATCTGGCATAGCCTCTGTCTGCTTTCATCATCTTAGTCTGGTCCTCAGTCACAACACATTTCACTCTCAGAAGTGTCCGTTTTAGACCATATATTTTGTGACACTGTGTGTTCCATGGTATAGATTCTGAGAGAAGCGTCAGAGAGTTCTTGCCAGTTGGTTTTTAATTTTTCAGGCAGGCCTTCAAGGCAGCCTTAATCAGTTAGCGAGTTCCTTAGCTGGGAAGTGCAGAGAACTAGTTCAGCATTTGAGATGCAGCCATATCCGCATTACTTTCTTCAGAAAGGCCTATCTGGCTTCTGCACAGGCCAGACTGCATGATGACTATTTACTCAGTGTTAATGGAATGAACATATAATCTCATCGTAGTCCTATACAATGAAAGGTAAGGCAGTTTAGTTTTACTATTATATTGGTTAAATGTTATTATAGATTAAAGCTAGATATTTTCTGTTTATTTCACTTGAGAAGCAAAGACTAGGTCAATTGTTCTAACAACTTCCTAAACTGTCTTGAGATTATATCACTTCAGGTCATGCTTACTTACCTGAAGAGGGGATTTTGAGACAGAAAGGAGGATAACACATACCTGGCAGTATTTTGGTAATATGTATCGCATAAGTATTATAGGTTGCCATGCAGGTAGTATTCCTGGTATGCTAGCTATTCTTAGTACTGTAAATATAAAATTTTCTCCTTTCTGAAGGAAAAATTCTAACTCTTGTGACTTCCATGATTTCTACTCAGAAGTAGTAATTATTCTGATCAATTAGTTTTGAGGGCATGTTTATCATACTGGCGTTGCAGTCAAATGCTCTACCACTGAGCTATACCCCACCATACTGGCATTGGATTTCTGTCATATCACGGTGCTGAGCTTAGCATATGTCTCAGACAGATCTATGGACCACGGTCAAGACCTTCATTCTGTAGCCATCAGATATTGACAGGACGTTTGAAGAGACCGGCACTAAGGACATTTTCTCTGTTTCATTTTCAGGCATTTGACTATGAACAAAAGAAGCTATTAGCAACCAAAGGTATATGACATGTTGATGATGTAAAATTTGACTGTCTTTTAATATACTCAGAAATGTTCTTTTGGTATTTGTGGTGAATTGAGATATTGGATGCTGGTAAGAAGAACAAAAACGTTTCACTTCAAGTTGCACAAATGCTGTTGAGGTTGGATTTAACTTGTTGACTAGATTTAACATCAATTAAGAAATTATGTAGCATTTTTTTATTTCCATTTCTTTGTGTACAATGTTTTATGAAGGTATGTTAGCTGTTTTGTGCTAAAGAATAACACTCAGATACAATTTCTTCACATGTATCAAAGAAACCATCCACATCATCAATATTTTATTCAAGAAATATGTTAAACACACCAAGAATTTGTTTTATATTCTCTTCTCCAAAGCTATGTTAAAGAAACCAGTGGTGACGGAGGTCAGAACGCCCACAAATACCTGGAGTGGCCTGGGGTTTTCTAAGTCCATGCCAGCTGAAACCATCAAGGAGCTGAGACGGGCCAACCATGTCTCCTATAAACCCACCATGACAACTACTTATGAGGTTTGTGGAGTTACGCTTTGCCCATTCTTCCTTGCTGTTCTCTCGGGGAAAGAGGACAGGCATCCCCCTCGGCCTTCTTTACATCCATAAGGAATGATTAATGGCAGTTTCTGTTTCTGACCTTGCTAACATCCTGTTACAGATGCAATCTGATATTTTATACTTTTTAATCTGAGTCTCTCCAAGACGTTGATCAGCCATTAAGGAGATGTAAATTTAGATGTCTTTTTGGGGGGGAAGGGTATCAAAAAAGACAGAGTAGGACTAAGACTAAGGAAAGAAAAGATGCGATGTTCTGTAAAAATATATAAAGGGGCTTTTTGTCGGAGGGTATCACTCACAAGGCCAGCATAGGGAGAAAAGGCAAATACTCAACAAAAACAGATTTTCAGATGTGAGTTAAAAATTCAGTGTATTCAGATGTGCCAAGAACACAGTAGGAAGTATCTCAAACAAGAGCTCCAACATTTTTATGTTTCCCAGATGTTGCCTGTGCTGCACAGAGGGAGACTGGGAAGCTGGCATCCGTAGCACATAGCGGAGCGGCCCGGAGTCCCACACTCCTCAGCCAGGCTACTCGTGACTCACTGAGCAGGCCTTTTCCATTTGGGAGTGTCCGGCAGAAGCAAACAGATTAGGGTCTCCCTCCCCGCTTTACTTTTTAAGTAAGTGAAAAAGAAAATAGTATGGAAATGCTAAAAAGAATGGTCTTCTGGTGAATTTCAGTGTCAGAGTTGCAATAGCTACCTGGCTGGTTAGGTTTAAAAACTGAACTGATCTTCTGCAGCAAGAATGTGGGAAACATTATGAAAAATTTTGAGGCGGTAGAAGGTACGCGCATCCTTCTGCCACTGGAGCCCCGAGAGAGCATAAATGTTTCCTTTGTTAGCAGAAACCTGAGAACTTCCGTGCCGGTTCCTGGACTTCGATCCAACACCCCCACCACTAATGTGGTTCTGTTCCGTGGACTTCACTCACCCTGGCTTTTGGCAAAGTGAAGTGTTAGGCTGTTTCTGTGTTTCTGTAGCTTGTAATACGTGTTCAGTTCTGTTCTCTAAAATGGACAGTATAACAGGTTGAAAATGATGATCATTTTAGTAACCTGGTGGCCAAGTCCGGGGATGTGGGGTCTTGTCTCTGCTGAGGAGACGTGTAGCTTTGGCGAGTGATCTTACACCTCTGAGCCTGTTCTCTCAATTGGGTGGTATTGAGAAAGACATCAGAGAGGGTGTGTGGTATTTAGCGTGGAGCGTAGTAAATTCTTAATTACATCAAGCAGCTGTCACTGTTCCCACTGGAGAAGCGTGTCCTGAAGGAAATCAAGGGCCTGCTGAAAGATGAGATTATGTGTATGGCTGCTCATTGGTGGAAGTAACTCTGTATGCTTTTGTATCCAAAGGAATAATTCAGTGTATATGTGAACACATATATATGAATTAACAGTAATTACCTTCAACCACATTCATTTAATTATTTGTGGCTTATAAGGTATTTTTCAATTGTAAGTTTAGTTAGTGCCCCATAAACTCCCAGTGAAGAAAGACAGGCCTAGCATGGGTAAGAATGTTCCTCAAGGTCATGGTCAAAGAGAACTTGAGTTTATTTTGCAGACTTTCCTTATCCGCCTCTTCATGACTCCCTCTGAGGGCACATAGCCAGAGCTGCTATGTAACTGATCCAGGGCTGGGTTATCGTACTTGTGCAAGCGACGGACTTTGCAGACATAAGAATCATTTACGAAAGAGACTCTTAGAGAAAAGGAAGGGGATTGGAGGAGGAGAGGGGAGGTAATGGGAAGTGGATATGGTCAGAGTATGTTATATGCATGTATGAAAATGAAACAAGAAAACATTCTGTATAATTAATATGCACTAATAAAATGGTTTTAAAGCCAATTAGAACGCTCGATAGAAATGCAGGTGCTTCCTCCAGGATCTTATTTAGCAGTGAGGGAGTAAGAGCAGATCAGGATGATGCTGACCTAAAGCAGGCACCTCTCAGGAAATACTGCGGGAGAGGGACACTAGGAAGGGAATGGCAAAAATGGGCACAGGAGTTCAGAAGAGTCTTCTCCAGCTGTTGCCCAAGGTCAGATAGGCCACTTTCTGTAGGCAGAAATGTGCCAGGATTCTGACCAAGTGGGTGAATTCCTTTCTTTGACTGTCTTGGGCTGGTCCCTCCACTGTCCTGGCTGGTATCTCACAGCCTACTCCCACTGTAAGTCGTGAGGAGTTGTGAGGAGGACAGATGTGACCTTACGATGGTGCTGAAGAAAAGATAGGCCCCAGCTTTCTTAAGGAATGGTATTCCCGATTCTGCCTGGGATTTGGACTTTTTCACATGCATTCCAAATTTACTGATATGGAGAGAAAGGGCCCTTGCATAGCATGACCTGGTTCTTTGCAGCAGTTGCTTGCTGTATGTATATGCCTTGCCCTTTTTTCTCCTGTAGTCAGAAAAACAGAAAACAACAGTCAGTGCTGATTACTTCTATGGATTAAGAAGTGAACAAAAGGGGTTGGGGATATAGCTCAGCAGCATAAGCGCCTGCTTGACAAGCGTAAGGTCCTGAGTTCGATTCCTGGTACCAAAAAAAAAAAAGAAGTGAACAAAGACCTGAAGAACAGTGGAGAAACACATTTTTATTAAAATGCAGACAACGCCTATGTTTGTAGCACTAGATGTTTACATTGTAGAGCAACTGGAAACACCTTCACGCTCCTTTTCCTGACTCTTTTTGCAAAGGAAAATAAAACTCAATAAACAAATAGAATAATGCTCTATAAGTAGCAGGATATTTGGCCAGCAGACGTGGATGAGTGAGCACCACACATGCATTGTGCCAGGGACCAAGCGTTTCCTGCTCTGGGAAGTTTTTTTGAGGCAAGAATTCGATACTTTGGACTCTCTATTCATTATCATCGAGAAGCAAGACTTCAGCACTTTTTTTCTGTCATTGGGCAACTATAAGAAATTAGTCCATTCTAAAAAGTTTCTTCATATAAAGAATTTTTAAAAATCAGACCCCCAAAATTCAAAGACCTAATCCATAAATGGGCATCTGAGATAAATACATACTTCTCACATGAAGAAATACAAATGGTAAATAAATACATGAAAAAATGTTCAATATCATTAGTCATTCGAGAAATGCAAATTAAAACAACACTGAGATTCCATCTCACCTCAGAAAGAATGGCTCTCATCAGAAATCAACCAGTAACAAATGCTGGAGGGGCTGTGGGAAAAAAGGAACCCTACTGCACTGTTGGTGGGAGTGCAGACTGGTGCAACCACTGTGGAAATCAGTCTGGAAATTTCTCAGGAAACTGGGATTAGAGGTCCCATTCAACCCAGCTATTCCCCTTCTGGGTATTTTTCCAGAAGAACTGAAAACATCATACCACAGCGATATATGTACACCCATGTTTATAGCAATGCAGTTTGTAATAGCTAACTCTTGGAAACAACTCAAATGCCCATCAACCAAGGAATGGATAAAAAAGATGTGGTATTTTTATACCATGGAGTATTACTCAGCTATAAAGAAAGATAAACTAGAGGCTTTTATAGGTAAATGGATGCAACTAGAGACTATACTCGTATGTGAAATAAATCAGTCTTATGTGTAAACATCGTTTTGCTTCTCTAGTGTAAGAACCTGAAAAAGTAAATAAAATCTGAAGGGTACAACAGATACTGCGAAAGGGAAAGAAACTGCTTAAATAGGAAAGAAAAACTGGGATGAGGAAAAAGAGAAAAGAAAGAAAAAAGGAAGGAAAAATATGTATATGTACACAAAGTAGCTTAGGTAATTATACTACTAAGTTCTATTGGTTTACTGAAAGGAACAGTGAATGTTTATTTTATCAGTCTTGCATACCTAGATCTGGTTATCTGAGTAACCACTTTGAAGATAACAACATGTAATGCAGCAACCATTGTTAATTTCCTATCACCTTGTTTTCAAATTCTGTATCATTTTTGTTGTTTCTGTGTTTTTTTGTTTATGTCTTTGTTTTTGTTATTTTGTTTTTGTTCTTTTCTCTTTAAAATAAAAAAAAAGAGCTTTTTTAGATAAGAAGCAGGCATTTTCAAGCTTTTTTGTTTTCTCAAAGACACAAAAATATGACGGTGTCTACTTAATGTTATACTGGGACACCAGATGTCAAATAAAAGCTGCCTTGGCCTGAACCGTCTCTGTCCCATCATCAGTGATACAAAGAGGCTTGGAATTTTCCCTTTTTTTAAACCATCCATCTCTGAAAAAGATAAGTAATGGTCACATATTCTCTGAAGCAAAAATGGCATAGGGAATCAAAAATAGTTTGCAGCTTCCCCAGAACTCAGTAATGAAAGTTTGTGATTGTATTAAATTTTATAAATCATCTAAGAGTAAACATGAGCTTTTTTCTGTGGATATTTTAGATTAGTTAGTAGATACCACAAGGTTGTGTTTTGCTTAATGTTTCCAAAAAAGACGTGCTTAGCAGGTCTAATATAGCTATGCGAGTTAAATCAGTGTAGGTTTTAGAGTAGTGGGTGTGTGTATTCGTGTACCTTGTGCTGTATGCTATATGTGTAGAGCAGATAGCGACTCATTCATGTTTCTGGTAGTTACCATGACTTGAGCATGTTTCTTATTTTTCTTGTTGCATTTGGTTTATCTTTGTTGAGGTCTAGTGTTAAAGATTCTTTCACTAGGAAAAATTCATTTTTTGGTCTAAGGAGCCTTAATTTTTCTGTATCTCTTTTGAAAAGTCAGCAAAAGCATCTTATAGATGTAGGGAAGGGAATCTCTGAGAGTCATTCAATATTTGCAGAAATATTAATCACCTTTTATATTTCAGACACAATTCTGTGCTCTAGAGACTCAGGGCTGGAAACGGGCTGTGGGTTCCTGCAACAGAAAGTGGATCTATTAGGGGAACATTAGAGATAAGCTTGGGGCGGGGCCATTTCTGGGATCTCTCAGTCCATGTGATGTACGCTGGAAACTATGAGGCAGTTATGGAGCTTATTAGGAAGTACCTCTGCCCATGGCAAAGTACAGTGGAAACAAATGAGCAGACTTTACACGGAGGCCTGATTTATTCTAATTTTAATCTTTAGAATCACAGTCTTGTCTTGAATACAATGGACGACAGGAGAATGACAGTAGAGTATCACCGGGATGGCCATGAGGGTGTCAGTTGGTGACAGTTGTGGTGATGGACAGACTTGAGGTGCATTTAGAGATATTGACAGACCCTGCTAGTGGGTTTGATGTGTTGAGAGATGGAGGAATCATGAGTGAACCTTCAAATTGGAGCTAGAAAGAATGGATGAGTAAAGTGTAAATTGCTGGGGTACAGATGTGCTTGAGCAAGGAGAAGGTCTGAGTAGCTGGTGAAGATGAGTGATCAGTGACCTGTTTTCAGCCTGCAAAGTTTGAAACACGTACTAGACTGCCTGGTGAAGGTGTCAGATGGTGGCTGTGATTTTAAACTTGAACAGGGAGCCAGGGATGTAGCTCAGTGGCACAAGAGCCTGCCTGGCAAGTGCAAGGTCCTGAGTTTGATTCCTGGTACCCCCCGCAAAAAGAAAAAACTTGAACAGAGAAGACATACGAAGGTAGAAATTTGGGAGTCATTGTTCTCACTGAGCTTTGAAAGAAGTTTGGGATTATATGATGAAAAAATAGAGGAGAAAAGGGGCCCTAAAGACCAAGATTCAGAGTTGTCTGACATTTAGAATGGAAAAGAAGAAGCTGCGCCTCAGATACAGTGAGGTAGATGGAAAACCTGGGCACTAGGGTGTTATGGTACCATAGAAAGACGTGTGTCAAGGAGGCTGTAGTCAGCTGTGGTTATGTTTAGAAAAGTAAATGGAAAGATTCTCTTGGAATCACCCAGTGAACATAAATCTTTGAAATCAATGAGTCTTGACATTGAGACTCTAATACAAAACAGGGTACATGTAATATGGTGATTAAATAAATTTTAAAAATAATATATGCAAATCTACAGCAAACTCTGGACTGTTTTCTATTTTTATTGACATTTTAATTTTGGAGAATTCGAAGGTAAATTATTCTAGGTATCTGTCATTTGTTGGAGAGACGGTGTAATTATGTGGAGAAGATAAACACAGGAAATTCCAGCTGTGATTTCAGTTGGTGACTGTGAGGCTGGGAGCTGGGTTCTTTCAGAGCATTGAATGTGCCTGTACTTCGTCCAGTTTCTCCTCCTGTGTGAAACAAGGTGAAGAATCTTTGCTGTACAAGTGAAGTTTTTCTTTGTGATTTCTGCAAATAGGAGTTTCAGCCACCACTACCAAATTTTATAGGGAAGATTCTTTATATGGAGGCCTCTCACAACCCTGTTGGGTACACCATGATCAGCTTCCTGCACTGATGGGAAGAGGACTTGTCCGTGTGTGAGTGTATTATCAAACCTCATTGGTTGTTAGAGCACAAAGCCATAGAAAGGTACCACAGTCTGTTCCTGAGAGTCGGCGTGCAGTGGTAAACAACAGAAGTGCATTGCGTTGGTGTCATTTGGATTCATTTCTCCTCCCACCACGAGAAACCCACTTTGTGAAACATTTCCTTCTTTGACTATTTACAGGGCTCATCAGTGTCCCTGTCACGGTCCAACAGTCGTGAGCATTTGGGGAGTGGAAGTGAATCGGACAACTGGAGAGACCGAAATGGAATCGCACCCACAAGTCCCAGTGAATTTGCAGCGTCTATCGGCAGCCCCAAGCGTAAACAAAACAAATCGAGTGAGCTTTGACTTTTATTCATACTTTAGGTGTAGTGAGCTCAGTATAAGCATGTGCAATATAAGTACGGTTCTGAGACTTCAGATACTTGGTGTGTCTCTGTGCCATCTGCTCTATAAAGATGGCCTTTGTCCCCCAGGGAAGTAGGCCGATTAATTTTTCTCCAGTCGCTGTGTTTGGTACATTCATCCACCCTAGTGTTTGCCATCCTGAAGTGTGATGTTTGTTTATATCTTCTCTCACTGTACAGTTTGAGCTCCACAGAGCAAGAGGCACATGTATTTAATAAACATTTATTAAGTACCCTTTTTCCAGGCATTCTGTTAGACTGTGCTTTTTTATTTTTTCCCCAGAATGTCTGACCCAGAATTCCTCAGCATAATATCTGACCCTAGTAAGTAGGTTGCAAGGAGTGAGTAAAACACCCCAAACACCCATATGACAAGGAAAAGACAGGGATGTAGCAGTTGAGAAAAATACTACCAAATTAGTATCTTGGACTGTTGAGGAAAGACTGACCCGTGTGTAGCTACTAATGGTGAATAGCAGGATTTGACTTTTCTTTTAAATTGATAAGACATAGCTGCATGAGCATAAACAGAAGATCACGTGAAAGCATGAGTGTTGTGTCTGAGCAGATACACCTGAGACCTTGTGTGAGTCCTGCTTTGTCCTTTACAGCACCCATGCTTCTTGGCTATATAAATCACTAAACAGATGAGAATCACTATTGTCACTCCAAGATTTGCTCTTAATGCCCTTTTTCAGAGTTTTTGACAAATTTGGGACCCTGATCATGTAGCTTGGAATATTTGAAGAACAGTTGAAGAAAGGCAATCTAGACCAGCACAGTAGATACTTGGTAACGACCCATTATTATCATCAGTCAAGTCAGCTACTTTGTCAGAGTCTCAGATTTGAAAAGACCTAGCATGGGGGCTGGGGATTTAGCTCAGCGGCAAAGCGCCTGCCTGGCAAGCGCAAGGTCGTGAGTTCGGTTCCCGGTACCGGAGAAAAACAAAAACAAAACAACAACAATGAAAAGACCTAGCATGATACTGGCCAAGTCTAAATAAGAAAGCCTGGTCATTCCCAAGTTAGAGTCAAGTAATAGCCTGAAGACTTCCTGTTTCCACCGGCTGGATCCTGCACCCCGACAGTGTGATTGATCTGAAAGGTAAAGGCTGGTGCAGGGCCGAGATCTAGGGGGATAAATGATACTGGGTCTCTAGCCCAGTCAAAGTCAGTTCTGTGCTTCTCTTTTTTATTTTTAACTCTTTCTCTTAATTTAACATTAGATAATTAGAATTGATTGTACTACATAGTTGAGTTGGTTTTGGGTTAAGATAGGGGGATTCATTAATGAAAAGGGAATGATTAAAGAAGCCCAGTTATTGATCCTTATCAAATGTTTGAAAATGATAGAGAAATTTAAGAGAAGATAAAGAAACTACCCATAATTATGACAAAAATGTGAGGAAAGCCATGGGCCATCATAAACATATCACTAACCATACATTTTCAGACATCTGTTCTTTAAAGTTTTACTAGTCCATCTTACTCAGCCCAACACAAAGTATTTTTTTAATTAATTCCATATCTTACATTGCTTTTTGAATACTCTTTATGCCAATAGAACAGCGTAATCCCCATTAGACCTATTGTGAGTGCTCAATAGCCACATGTGGCCTCTTCCTACAATTTGAAATGACTTTTCGTAATACCATTGCCAGGTTCCTAAGCCTCAGTTTTCCCTGGGTGTCCTGTGCTTGTCAGTTCTCAGATGTCCTTTTCAGCAGCTCTGTTTTTCTTCTCCCAAATGGTCAGTTTTCTCATTTGGACAGTCACGCGGCCAGCCTGCCAGTGACGCCCACGGTCTGGAGCCTGTGCTCAGTCTGGTATGCTCGCAGCACCCCGCTTTGTGTCACTGTTGACTCGATGCCTTGCTCGTCCTTCTCCCTAACCCTTTTAGTGACTCAGGGTCAAGGCTCTGCTTCACCTTTAAATGATGATGCATCTCAGGACTCATCATGCCAGGGCTTTGTTCTGGGTGCTTCCCCTGCGTTCTCCCTCGACGAGATGAAACATCTGTTTTTAAGAGAAAAAGAAATCTTATGGGGAAATTCCTTCTACTGGAGATATACAAAGGACTTCTTAGTTGGGAAATGGAAGCAACTGGAGGAAGTGGTTGATAGCACCCAAAACAGTGCAAGGCAAGACACTTGGATTTGGCAGATGAATGAACCCCTAGAGTAGGGTCTGACCAGCTTAGGTGCGTCTTCCTCATCCTTCCCCTCCCTTGGAATCACTCCTGCAGCTGCATCTCTGGTACAAAAGGACAGACTGCCCACACAGGCAAGGGCCAGCTGGTGGTCAGGGAGGGAGGAATGCTGCATGGCTCTGTCAGATCCTCCAGAGCAGGATGTTTGTGTATTCGGTGAAACACTTGCATGGTTCAGTGGTCCACCTCCCAACTTTGCTTGTCACTTGACCTGAGAGAAACAGACAGTGTGGTGAAACCTTTGCTCACCCAATCAGTCTCAGAGCTAAGGCAAACCTGTGCATTGCCGTGTTAGAATTTACCCCAAGAGACAGATTTATTTCTGTCACAAATTAAATCCAGGAACTTCAACAGCATTCCTGTGACCTCATGTATTATTCCTAATTTTAGAAGTATTCTATCTGGTGAATTTGCTGGCCAAATTATGTTTTGCCACATGACACAGGGAAGCACATGTGTGGCTGCAGAGGGGCCTTCCTAGTGCCCAAAAGGATCCTGGCTCTCCCATGACTTTCCATACTTCATTGTGTCTTGGGGATCCTCCTTGTGATTCCCCATTTAGTTCACATCAAATCACTTCTAAAGAGCACATGCTTCTGAGTTCTCAGGGAGAATATGATAAATGATTATTAACTACAAAGGCACTGCTGCCGAAGTTTTGCCTCCCAAGTGTCACTTTTAAATGGCAAGAGCCTCCCTGAGAGTAATAACCAGCATTTCCTTAATGAAAAGCCAATATTTCAGCAAAAGATTGCTGTAGTTCTGCAGCAAGGGTTCTGCCCAGCTGAACAATGAAATCTGAAATATTTATGTGATTAAAACTTTTAATTAAACCACATTCTCTCTGGGCATTTACACTTTAAGCCTGCCTCTCCTTTGCCTTTCAGCGGAGCACTATCTCAGTAGCAGCAATTACATGGACTGTATTTCGTCGCTGACAGGAAGCAATGGCTGTAACTTGAACAGCTCTTTCAAAGGCTCTGATCTCCCCGAGCTCTTCAGCAAACTTGGCCTGGGCAAATATACAGATGTCTTCCAGCAGCAAGAGGTCAGTTCTTATTTTTCCCGGTGTCTTTGTTTTGGCTATGTGGATGATGACCTCTGAGAGGAAATCACGCGTTGACCTATGACTGTGCTTTCATGGAGTGTGTATTCAGGTCACATACCGTGTTCTTGCTGTTAGGAAAAATGTCGCCTCATTTCTTATTTAGTGCAGTTAGTAAACATAGGATAGCAGAAATACAGAAGATTATGTTTCCAGAAATGCACCATAGCTGTCGTGCACCATTGTTAGCTGGCATGCTGATCTGTAGAACTTTTGGGTTCACAGCTCCCCAGGACCAGTGTCAGGTGTACAGCTCAGAGGATTTTGTCTTTGAGTCTGTTGTCTTTATTAAAGACCCTCAGAAGCAAATAGCACCATCTGAAATAAGTATCTGTGACTGTTTTTGGCCCCCCAGTCACCCTGTGAAGTCTGTTCTCACAAAATATATTTCAACATATTCATTTATTCATGAAATTAGTGTCTGAGTTTTCCTTGAACTAAACCAGAGCTGAGATGTCTTCTGGACTGTCGCTCCCAGGGATGTTGGTCCAGTAGGTCAGCCTCGGCCCTTTAGCCACTAGCAGGCATAAAAAGGCCCTCAGCATGATTCTGATGGTGCTATCATATTACTAGGGCACAGCTAACCCAGTACATCAGAGAGGTGAAAGTCTTTATAAGTTTATCTTTCTCAAGTCAAGTCATAGTCCAAATTTGGTGCTAGTTGGCTGAATTTCATGTTATAGAATCTCTGATTAAGTCAGTAATTTTTGATCACGTAGCAGTCAACAAAGAATTAAAGGTTTTGTTAGCTATTTGGTATCATAAATTCAATGTATGGCCCATGGCTTAATAAATAATTAAGTTTAATTCCTGAATTTTTTTTGTTACACTGAGAGAGAGATTGCCATATGGATGTTGGACTTCAGGCAGTTGATTTTATTTTCTTTGCTCTATATCTCAGTTAGGTGCATTTAACCATGGATTTCCTGAGTTGAATCACCCTTTCACCTGAACCCATTAAAGCACCATCTCTACTGCCTTAGTCCTGCTGTTTAGATGACGATAGCTGACTGAGGCAAAGGACACAAGTGTATAACTAACTTCTCCAGCCACAGAAGAAAGTGTTGCTTACTGATAGCTGGGTTTGTTTTTAATCTACATTTCCTATTCAAAGAAGCACAGAAGTAAATGTATTATAGGTGCTTCTAACCTTACTACTCTAAGAAGAAAGAAAACACAAGATGCTACACCCAGACTGGCTTTATTTAATAATTTATTAACGAGGGCATGAATCAGCAAACGGTGGCCTGCAGACCTGTTGCTTGATTTTGTCAATAAAGCTTTATTTGGACATAACCATGCTCATTTGCTTATTGTCTGTGGCTGTTTTCTAGCTGCACCAGCAGGGCTGAGTAGTCGCAGCGGTGACTGTGTGACCTGTGCCGCCTAGAACATTTCCCACATGGCCCTTTAGGAGGAAGTTGGGGGAATTTAGAGTCTGTTGAGTAGAATTTCTAAGAACGTATCTTTAGAATTAGGATCAAGGCTGACCTTAAGGTTTTATAAGATCTAGATGTAATGTCAAATCAGAACAGAGAATGGCAAATTGTGTTTACTGCAATTTAATGAACAGTATTTTTTACTTTTATTTTTTTTTTATTTTTAAATTTTTTTTATTTTTTGGTTTTTCTCCGGTACCGGGAACCGAACTCACGACCTTGCGCTTGCCAGGCAGGCGCTTTTGCTATTTTTTACTTTTATATGGCACATTGAAATTTAGTGTGTAATCCGCTTCCTCTTCATAGGTATTTTCCAATATTCAGCTATGACTTAACAAGAACACCCCCACTATGTAACCTCATTGTATTGAATTTGTGGTGCATTGAAGATTCACTTAGTAACTTTCACAGGTGATGAACAGTATATGTGTATTACCACTAACCATAGCTGCCAGTTATTTAACCCCTTTGGTGAGTCCCTTGGTATGCTTTACATCTGCAGTCATATTAAATATTTACAAGGGCCCTGCAAGGTACAGTATGTCCCCAACTTATGAGCATTTGAATGGTGAACTTTCACAGGTATAAGACTCACTTTGTTGGCTTAGGAACAAATCCAACTTATGAACAATTCTCCTGGAGTGGAACTCGTTCTGCTATGGCAACAGAAACACTGAAGCGACACCCAGGATTTGGAGGCAGATTTATGTAACATTGGACAGGCACTGACAAGGAGTCAATCCTTACAGAAATGTCAGGCCTGGAAGGCCTAGGGAGGGAGGTTTTTATGGGGCTGCAAAGGGAAAATACAGAGGCGCAGTACTTGTCTGTCTTTGATTGGTTCTTACAATAGGTATCATAGTGACCAGCCATTTCTAAGAAACAGAAGTGACAGGAACTGTAACAGGAGCTGTTACCTGGGCAACTAACAGAAACTGACACATACTGGAGGGGGGCATTTTCTGCTACAGTTTGTAAGTCGGGGGTTTACTGTACAGCATTTTCAATCCTATGTGTCTTTGACTGTGATGACAGACTCAGGGTCTGAATCCAGGTCTCTCTAACTTAAGAGTCTGCTACCTCTCTAGTCAGCCACATTGTCTTAAAAGGAAGAATAAGGTTCTTTGCTATTTCCCTCCATCCTTGCTGCTGATACCATAGGGTATAATTATAGCACTACTGCAAGTGGTTTTTTGATGCCATTTTCAATGATGGTCTACTGGGTTGAACCAAGTGAACCAAGAGATCTGATGTAGTCTGTGAATTCTTGTGTCAGTATCATGTAAAACACCATGGAAGTTACCATCTGTTATATAGTTGCTTCTTGAAAGATATAGTGGCCCAATCCAGAATTTAAATCTAAGAACAGTTTTTCTTTTTCCTTGGCAGATAGGATATTTGTGTTTCCTTTTGCCAGAAGTTTCCAGGATAATCAGAACTAAATTTTTATCTCAGTTCACAGTTAATTATGAGGTTGGATTATGTCTGCTAGGGTAATCACTTTCACTTTACTGTCTTTCAGTTTGTGCCCCATCCACTAGTTTTTGGAAGTAGGCAATACACAGGTAGTAAATACGTGTAATGATGAGGTTGTCTTACAATGATGAAGAAAATAAGTGCTTAATATATTGGCTGAAGATTGTCTTTTTACCCACAGATTGATCTTCAGACATTCCTCACTCTCACAGACCAGGATCTGAAAGAGCTGGGAATTACTACTTTTGGTGCCAGGAGGAAAATGCTGCTTGCAATCTCAGGTGAATATGAATGTTCAGCTCATACTTTAAAATCTGGAAAAACTTCTGCCAGTGGTCTCAGCCATGGGGCTGGTTCTTCCCATCAGCTGCTTGCTTATTCTTCTAACATGTTGGTGGTTGTGGTGTCAGAGGGTTCTTCTGCCAACTGTGTGGCCAGTGCTGAGAATATCCACTCCTTCATCAAGGCAGTGCCAGCCAGCCTGCCTGGACAATGTTGTTCCTTGAAGTAGATCTCTTCAGAAAGATAGAACCAGAATTGTTCTATACAGAACATAGTAGTGGGAAGAAAGTTTAATTTTCCTTTCTGTCCTTGTGCCAGACAGTAATCATTGTGAATAAATATTCTTAATTGGATGTCAGATTCAAAGGTATGTGTCCTTGAGCACCAACCAAGACCATCACTTTGTGCAAAAAATACCATGCTTTGGTATAGATAAGAATCTAGTAGTAGTATTTATTTGTCTTAATGTTTTTAACAGAATTTGTGAATCATCAAAAGGATATAGTATCCTGAAAGTAGTTACAGAATGAAGCAAAATAATGTTTTCTGTATCGGTAAAACACCCACTTTGTGTATCCATTGTATAATCCATGGATCAGAAAATGCTCCCTCAATACGTATTGGGAGACACTCATTTGAAAGGAACTGGGCCAGTGATGAGTCAGGAACTGGCAAATATATAGTAATATACCTCAATAATGTGCTTAGAGAAATATGAGGAAGAAATATTAGAATAAGAAAATTTTCAAACACATTGGACTAGGTACTTAAATGCCAAATTTATATGCATACCCTCAAAAAGACAGACACGCTAAGAGCAGAAGCTAAGTATCATGTATAGTACTGTGAGAAAATGACTTTGCTCTTTTTGAGCATTGAGTCTGCTGGCTGCTTCTTCTGTGAGGACAGCAGTTGTAGCCAACTGGTGAAAGTCCAGTCCAGACAGCATTCACTAATGAAATCAGCAAGTAAATTAAAACTTCAGTGGTTTTCCATTGTACTTGAGAGTTGCGTACAAAATCTTCATCTGAAGAAGACTCAGGCAGTGTAGATTTGAAACAAGAGTGGAAATCCCATTGGTGCGCTTTCTGGCAGTAGCTATTGTGCTTCTCCATGAATGGAGTTCTGAGTATGCCACCCCAGCATTTCAGAGTATGCCACCCCATGGTGTGCCCCAGAAGCTGCACTAATAGTGCTCTCCAGGTAGATGTGCAGTTCCTGTTAGCTCAGAAGTTCGCTTTGATATAGTGAAGAGCACACTGGATTCAAATAGGAGACCTGGGCTTTCCTACTGTCATATCATGAGATCAGGGTAAGTTTCCAAATTTTGGTTTCATGAAAATAGATTGGAACAGATAATTGTGTAAGGTCAACTTCCCTTTCTAAGATCTGTCCTTTCATGTCATCTGTCATTAGACTTAATGAACATAGACAACAGTTTCAACGGTATGCATTACTAGCAGGATATTACTTTGTTCTTTCCTTTTTTACCATCTGCAGTAAGATAGTCGATTTTTCAACTTGCTTACCCTGGAGTTTATCTGAGAGAGCTATTCCTTGACTCTAACTTTACACACTTTCACATTGCTTTGTGGATCTGCAAATGAAATTGGCACAGTACTTGAACTCACATATTCACTACACCTGTATTATTGAAATGTGCTTGTAGGCCAGCATTTTATACCAGCAGTCTATAATCATTCCCTAGAGGCTCGTGGAATAGCAGTGACAGTAGAAGAACTAAATTCTTTATGTATCACCCCAACTTCAGACTGTAGAGCTTTTAGAGACATCACTAAATACTTTCATAGGTTGCAGATGGATCACTGATACCTATTCTCTGGAATATAACAGCACCATTCACTCTGGGCTTGGGGGAGTAGAGCAGGAATCAGAATCCTAGTTTTAAAGTTTTTTTTCTAATCATCTCTGGCATGTGTCCTTTGAGGTTATGTGCTTCTTAAATTGCCTCTCTCAGTGGGGTTCAGTTCTCTTGCTTTTAAAGGGAATTACAGACGTAGAATAAGATGTCTTATGAATGCTTTTCACAGTATGAAGCATTTGATTATTTTAAGGATGATTTTGCCTTTGTTGACTGCAATTGTTCAAACCTGGTAAATCGTTTTCTCTATAAGTAATAAGTTTTTATCGAGAAACCATTCATCAAAACGCTTCTTCCTCCAGTTCAAGCTACCTGATAACAAAGACATCCATTTGTATTCTGAGAACATTCCATTTCCAGAAAGACACAGGCAGCTAGGCAGCTCTGGTACACATTTGTCTTGTGTTTGCATGGTTTGGTGAGGTTCAGAGTTTGCTCAAAAATCCTTTTTAAAATTTTATAGACTTTTTAAAACATATAATCAGAACTGTTCTTTCAGTATGAGGTTTTGTTTTATCTTGGGCCAGAAGACATGTATTCTAATGTTATAGGAAGAGGTGAAGTTTATTTCTAGTGGAGATGGATCAAAGAATAAACTTGATTTTTTTCAAATTCATGATTTTTTTTAAAATTCAGAGATTTCTCTCAGAGTAGTTCAGTGATTGATTTAACTAGTTGTACACAAACTCAGTGAAAGGAAGGTTAGTGTCCTGTAGACAAGCTTCCTGCCACGGCCTCAGGTAGATCTAACATTTCCCGACCTATTCTTTTAGTTTGTGACTCTGTTCAGATCCGCAACAAGATCCTGAGAGCTGCCAGGATTGTGTGAACCTTGGGATTTCAAAGAAAAAGGTTGGTATTATCCCAAACTATTCCTTAGGCTTACTGAGAAAAAAATCAGAGGAAGGAGTTTGCTTTTTAATTTAAAACACAACAAAACCCCTGAAATCTCTTCAGTAGGACTTGATCTTTGATACCTTCTCTGGAAGATGTCTCTGTGCTTCACATTTATGAAAAGTATATATGAAAGTGAATCTTTAGGGAATGATTGGATTTCCTCATGCCCATTTTAGTCTTTCAAAGATGTAGCTAATGTGATTTTTCAGGAAAAAGTTTTCAACATTTATTTTCAAAAATTGTCTTCATTGGCCCGTTTGTTTCCATGTGCTCAGCTGCACATGTTATACCTGCTAGGGAAGGATGTTGCTTCGCCTCACTCCTTGCTCTTCCATCACCGTCACAAAGGGGCGCCCTCCTAATTGGTAGGCTGTTTCCCACATGGAAAAATGGAGCCAAGATGGTCTCCATGCTTGAATGTAATACAACAGGCCATCCACTTAAGGGGATTTGTTTATTCTTTATTTTCCTAGAAGTTTGCCTTTAAATATGTTTGATTCCATCTTGATTTCTAAAAATTCAAAGTGCTGTATTTATGAGTTTGTTACAAGTACTAACTCATACTGATGGCACAGCTGAATGAGTCTCACTGTGATAGTTCCATACATGTGTGCTTTAATTTAACAAGACACATTTGCTCAACTTTTAACATGAATGTCTTTGCTGCTGTGATTGTGTAGAGAGTTGAAACAATAGGTGTTAGTATGCATGCCTGCATGTGTCATTTGTAGAGTTTTCAAGCTTTTTTATTTAAAAGTAACTTTAGTATACTAAAATATGAAATAATGCTCTGTTATTGGGCATACTTGCAACTCTAGTGTCTTAGGTTTGCATTGCTGATGGCTGAGTTGGTCTTTGTCCATGGGCCCCTGGCCTTTGCATCAAGGATATGAGGCTTCCTCATTTAATGGATGGGTGACATCAACGACTTTTAAAACCAGCTTTCTTATGTATAAAATGGAAATATTAATATTACTTATTCCTTAGAAAGGACACGAATAGGACAAAATAAATGTAAAGTGCTTATCTTATAATAAAGGCCAATAAATCACTTATCTTTCTTCTAAAAACTGTATGTGAACTAAAGAGAGTTGTTTCTATTGTATCTTTGACCCTTACAGGGCAGGCATACATGTTTTGAAAGTAAGTGGAGTGAAATAAGGGTGTTGGCCCATATTCCAGAATTAAGGGGTTAGGAGCATCTCTGGCCTTGTGATCATCCTTATCTACCTGTGACAGTCTAGTTGGTTCTCATTCTTAGCATTACTGTAGTTCCACATAATTTATACAGCAGCCTCAGAATTCAAAAAGGGATTGTGTATATGGTTAAAAAATTGAGTCCCATGAAAATATAAAGTTCCCATGACTTGTTACAGCTTACCTCAAACTAAACAGAAAGGACAACTTTGAGCAGTCTATTTGAAATCGAGTAAGTCTTCAGATATTTGCTTTTGGTGGTTACCAGAAACTGTAATCTCCACAGTATGACTCCTCTTTATAAGGAGTTACATTAGTGATTCCAGGGTCAGTTGAGGGGGGTACATGTAATCATAAACAAGGTAGTCTGTGTAGGTTCACTTTTCACATTTCTAATAGTTTTTACATGGCAGTAGACAAACTAAGGATGTTGGTAAGAATTCTAGTTTCTTCAAAATGACAGTAAAGCACTGTAATTTACCCTGAAAATTTGGATACAAACTTTGGTTGTTTTCAAGTATGTATTTTCTGAACTGCTGTGATTTGTACTGTGTTGAATTTTTTTTCAAAGAAACCTTCTGCTTCTTCACCTAACCACTTCTGATTCAAGAAGCATAGACTTAATGAGTGGCCAGAGCCGTGGGGGCCAATTTAATGCTTAATGCTTCAGGGTTTTTCTCCAGTACCCTCACATTTAGGTACAGGGTATCTTTTCACGTCTGAGTGGCTGCTGTGTTTGACATAGATGAGTTAAGGAAGTGTACAAATCTTCTGTGTCCTCTCTTACACTTGTTACTGGCCTTAATTGTCCCTCTGCCCATGAAGTGACCTTTGGTGTAGGTCAAATGGTTAACATGGTTCGAAGTTTCTGAGAATGATACAGCCCCCAGAAAGTTTTGTAACCACCATAAAATCTATTTGTTGTCCTCTGTTTTATAGGCTACCAACATGCTACCTCTAACATCAGACTCTAGTATGTCAGAAGTGTCTTGGCCATTAACTAAAAGTTTTCCTTTTGCTACCAGACTTGACCCCCCCAAACCTACTGCGTCACTATTTTATGAGCTGCAATGCCATATCCTGTAGTGTATGGAACTTTTCTAGTGGGCTACTAACAATTCTTTCTCACTCTTTCTCTCCAGAACTAAATAAAAACCGAAGAAAGCTTTTTGAACCACCAAATGCACGCACCTCTTTCCTGGAAGGTGGAGTGAGTGGCAGGCTGCCCCGACAGTATCACTCAGACATTGCCAGTGTGAGTGGACGCTGGTAGCACTACCCTCTAGGCACACACCTGCCGCTGCCTGGAGAGCCGGCCTGGGAGACTTGTGAGCGGCTTCCACTGCACACCGTCCTCAGCACTCTGGGTGTCTGGTACCAGGACCAAAGCATCTACTCGCACCTGTACTCTGTGGTAGAAAGGAAGACAGCAGAGAAGATGGTCTTTATGCTGCCGTACAAAACGCCAAATGGGGATTATTTTTTTTAAATGGCATTTGGACAGAATTTACAACATGAGGATAAGGCTTTATTCCCTTTTTTAAACCTGTATAACATATGCACTGATTTTTTTTTTTTACTTAAAATGAAGGATACATTAACATCTGGGATGCCAGAAAACTTAGAAGTTATTTTGTTTGTTTTGGTATTTGGGAATTTAAAAAAAAATAATCAAAGCGGAATTTCTGGTACTGCTTTAAAAGAATGATTGAGGGCTTTCAGCACTTTACATGTTCTGACTTCTTGTCCTGTGGAAACTTTCTTTTTCTCTTCTTCTTTCTCTCAGTTTCATATTGGTACAGATCAGATTTAGTCATATTTTTCTGACTACATCAAATTTTTTATTTGAAATGGTACTGGATATTAGTTTCTCTGCAGACTGTTCTGTGACTGTGGGAAATGTGAGTCCACTCGGTTATGGACCAATTTTTGTCATTCTTGTCTGCATCCTGGGAACTCTTAGCAGTGAACCTGGCTCGCGGTAACAGGTGCAAAGACAGACCAGATGAGATTTGCAATATTAACCCTTTGCAGTCTTCATATTTAGCTGCTGCCTGTATTGCTAAAATGATTTTAATGGTTGTTGGAAGGCAGAGGGCTGTTTTTATTTAGTATACTGCCACTAAAGGACATTTATTTATATCAAACTTTTATTTTTAGATATTATAAGCATACAGTACATAATTGATGAAATTGATATTTGCTAGAGATTTATGGTAGAGAATGGACGGCATTCAATAACTGGAGCCCTAGATTGTCACTTTATTTAAAAAAGATAAATAACCATCTGACAAGACAGCACTGTTGCCATTATGAAAAGAAAAAGATTACGTCCTTACGATGTGCACATGAACTGTGCTCCGTGTGGTCACAGGACTTTCCTAAAATTGCTTCCAGTAGGCTTGTGAATGGGAAGGCTTTATTTACGTCTCCAGGGTGACAGCTTATAAAGATAGCTGAATTCTGAAGGGAAAGAAGAAACCGTTTTCTAAGTGGCTAGATTTATTGTTATAATCATACTGTGAAAGTCCAAGAAATCGGGCAACATTGTTTCCTGGGTCTTTTCAGATACCTTATTGTGGATTTATGAAGGTTTTCAATCCATGCAGAAAATCACTAAAGTGCCTTTCTTTATTCAAAGCAATATTATTTCCAAGTGTATTAATTTGTTGGGAAGCTTTCCCATAGGAAATGTTCTCAATTACCTATAATGACTTATTTATATTTAGTATTCAGGATTTTCTATGTGGACATAAACCACTGTCATATGCTCTTAGTAGAAGGCATTAGATAAACTTCTACAACCCTTGGGAAATTATACCAATGTGGACTAAGAAATACTTATGCAAACCTTTTTCCCTGGCTAACCCTTGCCATTAAACTGAGAACAAGAATTGAAAATGTATTTTGCACATAGAAAAAATGTTCACTTTAAAAAATGAACCCTGGTCACTTTGAAGGCGTAGACAACGCACCTATTATAAAATGAACAGTTAAACGCAATCGTATCTGCTTTAGAACATAGAACCCAGTCACTCCTTTTGCACGTAGAGAGCCATCTTCCTATGCACATGCACAGATGGTCACGCAGACCTCCCTGGTCATTGCGTGAAAGTGCTATGCTGAATATTCAAGCACAGCATAACAGCCCCAGCTTTGTTTCCTGTTCAACATCTCAATTTTGGAAATTTGATGATTTCTTTTTTAAGACCTTCCCGAAATGAATAAGATAATCATTTGGAGCCCTTCTCTCACCTTTCCACTGTGTATTTGCCAATAAGAGGAGGAGAGAATGAATATGCAGTATTAAATTGGTACAGGTTTTATGATACAGCATGTTCTTACTATGCCAAAGGGAATACTGTCCCACTTAAAATAGGTAAAATAGGGTAGCTAAAAACAAATAAAGACACTGGAAGTTATTTTTCTCACTTTCTCGTGATAGAATGAAGGGAATATGACACTACAGTATACAAAGTGGTCAGTGTTATATGATGCACAGAATATCTGGATTATTTGAATAAATGTTAGCTTTTAATCAATCTGCGCCTTAATAGTGACTGGTTATCTGTAAATAGAGAACAGATACAGATTGTATTTTTGTGTGGGTTTTTGTCCTTTCAGTGACTTTTTTAAAAAATGAAAGATGGAATTAACATTGAAAATGGGAATTTTTCTAATCAATTGTTACATGAGAAATAAATTTATATAACCCCTTTGTATTGTTCTTGCTAGATTAAATGTCTTTTTAAAAAATCTGTACATAAATTCATGCTTATTTTTCTTTTCTGAGAAAGCTTTTTTTGTTATTTTCAGCAGAGTTGAAAGGTATTTTTGCAGTGGAACTGGATATGCATTTCCTCTTATTTCTTACTGACAGGGCTCCAGTTCAACCAGAAGTGAAGGCACCTTATTTTAGCTAGTGAATCCAAGGCCAGCATCAATCATTGTTTCTTTGGCCACCTGTAGGTACATACACAAAGAGTAACATAATAGAACAGATTTTACTCTTGTTACTTTTTCCTTCTATAAAGATTCGAGTGTATGACCACTTTGACAATCTCATCCATCAGCAGAGGTGCTCCATACTGAAGTGGTTCCAGGCTTTGTGACCCTTGTTCCCATTTAAGGGACTGACTGCTGTGCTGTCTGTCATATTGAGTGCTGACCGTGGCATCTACTGAGATTCTGATTGGACTCATTCTTAAAATGGAATTGGTACTATTTTTGAAATCTGCCTGAATTTTCAATGCTAACCCTCTGGGAATATCTCCACTTGAATTATCTATGCCAGTGTTTCTTAAAAATTGTTTCTAGAATAAGTTCTTTTCATAATTGAAATCTCATCTGTGATCCCCTGAATAATTACTTGTCCAGTCATTCAGTTCTATGAATAACTACAGATAGGTGGATAAAGACACAAATGCCAAGTGCTGGTGCCGCTAGTAGTGTACCATTGAGCTGACATTCTAAACGGAGAAAGGTGGAGCTGATGAGGCAGGGTTGGAGGATGCAGTATCCTCGCTCTTCAACATAGTCTTCCATGTTACACTCCAATCACTCTGGGGCCTTATAGAAGCCCAAGTTTTTACCAGAACTGTTGAGTTAGTCTATCACACTGAAATAGGCCTGTGCTTTGAAATGTGAAATACTCCTTCCGCCACCCTTCTTTTTTTTTAGGTTGCATAAGTTTCATGACATTCTCAAAAGGAATGAATGTGATAGGAGGGTTATGTTGCTGCACTTTATGGTCATATTCTATGGTGGTAATGGTAGGGACCGTAACTTCTTAGATTTGACTCCAAGTCACAGGGCAGGTTTTAGACACCAAGTTTAACATGTTTGCTATCAGTGTAGATACTCCAAGCATGCACTAATACTTAGAAGTTCATTCCAGATGGAGACATTCACAAGATACTCCACAGTGGAGTAAATGGAGTCTCTTCATATGATGGGTTCCGATGGGAATTTCACCCTACTTTGAGTCCTTACAAATTCAAATGTGTTAAAGTACAATTTAATCTAATTTTTATAAGATATTTATTGAATATATTCTATGGTTCTAGTCACCACTGGGAGCCATAATGCTATGCTCCTGTTCCAGGTAAGTTATCTTTGTTTCCTTACCTCAGGCTTTGGATAACTTGAGGTAATCTGGCTGAGAGCAAAGGAGGCTGGCTTTGCAGTTGGGTATGCATGTAGACCTTGGGAAAATTACTCGCCCTCTGAGTCGACATGTATAAAATGGAAATAATACCCGTCTTCGTGAGTTGTTAGGAGAGTAAAGAGAAGCTGTCCTGCACAGTATAAAGCACATGGTGAGTAGGAAACCAGTTGCTTCCACCATTACCCCAGCTGGGTTCTCTGTTCACTGTGTTTCGGTGCCCATCGGGGTCTTCCCTGTGTTTGTCTGCTTTCTGTATTAGAAGGGGAAAGCCCATTTCCTCTGCAAGAAGGTTTGGAGGAAAACCCATAAACTTCATTCCTAGTCACTCCTGCCCTGGCAATTGAAGTCAATACTATCCTGAACTAAAAGCGGGGGCCTCAAACTTTGTACAGAAGTCTGTACTCTGCTTGGTTGGTTTTTGTTTCAATTTTTAAAAATCTTATGTACCATTGTATTAAGGATTAGGTTCTTCATGTGGTTGGAGTTAGTAGCTGTGTCTACTAGTCAGATGTGTTGTCCCTAATTACTTTACTATGCCATGGAGTTCTTGTTACTTTTGGGTGGCGTAAGCCCCCACATCATCCACCCCAATTGCTCAACTCACATGGATTCCTTTCTGCCCATCACCACCCCAAAAATGTAATGCTAATGCCCTTTGTGTGCGTGAATAAGCTTTTGTTTTTTGAAAACAGCTGTTTGCATATGTTTGTGCTAAGTTTAGCTGTTTTCCACTTTAAAAATTGAGTAGAGTTAGATAATGTTTGACTTCTTACAGACATGGCCAGGGCACTTCAAAAACACTTCATCAAGGGATTTCACATTTTTGCTGCTTTTTAAAATACTTTGACTCATTCTGAAATGAGGCAAGTAAAGCTTAAAGTTCTCTTTCTCAACGGTTAGGCTGTGAATGTGATTTGGAACAGATTTTGGGAATTGGAGTCTGAATCTGACTTTGGAGACAGAATTTGAGTGTGGGAACCAGAACCTTTAGGAAAAAATTACAGTAACTGAAATGATTCAACTTCATAATAGAACGTTTGGATGGATCACAAGGAGAAAAGAAGGTTGATAATTGGGCGTGTGCCCCCCCTCAAGGCCAGAGAAAACAAATGATTCTGAGCTCACTGTCTCCAGTGCTGCTTAATCCTTTACAGAGGGGCTGTGGGAATCAGACTAGAAAACAATGTATATTCAAACAAAATTGTCACCTGAACACAAATGACCGTCAGTTGCTGATGAAGTTTGATTCAAAATTGCCATGGATAAAGTTCTCCAGTTTTGTGAGTGGGTGACATTTGCTCTTTGCCAGAGTCACAAAATGATGCTAAGAACAGGCAAATGAAGTAGCTCTGTATAAATTCTTCCTATGGCTTGAAAAATGTGCATGGTGCAAAGCTATGCTGCCTTTATTGCACAAATTTGAGTTGAATTCCTAAGAAGAGAAAGTTCCGTTTTGGTACTTTATTTAAAATCTTTTTTTTTTTTTTTTTAATTTTAAAGACAGTAGTAAATGAGAAAAAAAAAACAAAACAATAGCAGCATACCAACATCACAAACATAAACGAAACAAAGCAAGAACATTAAAGATGATACAGGGTTTCAAGACAAAATGATAGGAATTAACAGTGGTTGTTATATTACATATTGTTATCATTAACTATGTTGCTTAGATTACCAAATGTAAGAATGGAAGGTTGTTCAAACCATTACAGAGAATAAAAGAGTAATTTTTACATAAAACATTAGAGATAATACAGAGTTTCATTAGACAGTATGGCAGGAATTAACCATGGTTGGTCCATTGCATACAGTTGTCTTCAAATCTGTTGCTCAGATTACCAGACATAAGCATGCAGAATTCGTCAGAACATCAAAAATGTTAAGCATTAACTGCTCAGTATACCATCAGACATCAGAAAATCTTTTAAACACACATGAAACTACCGTACCTTTTTCCAAAGGGAAACTATGCCCATGGAGGTGGATAAGGAAAGTTACAGCTTTAGCAGTCATATACACTTTAAAACAGGTACCCCAATATAATGAGGATGTCTTTAACTGGCTGAAAAGTATCAGAGAACTTAGAATTGAGTTTAAAAAAAAAATACCATGGGATGATGAGGGTGTTGTATGGCTCTTACATACCTTTATTAATGTGGTATAAATGCAGACTTTTTGGAGTATTCATGTAACAGGAAATAGGAATATGAAAATGTAAGGTTTTCTGATCATGCTGCTACTAAGACATGATACATTAATGAGGAGAAGGCAGTTGAAGAATTAAAGGAAATACTGCAACTTAAAAATGTTTTAGGTGCCTTGATTTTATGTCCTCTTTCTATAACATTTCTGAATGAGAAATTCCCTTTCTCCGTCTCTTTCCTTTCCTCTCCTTCCCTCCCCCCACCTCCCCTCCCGTTTTTTTGTGGCTCAGGGCGTTGAGCCTAGGGACTTTGCACTGATCTACATCCCCAGTCGTTTTATTTTTTTGAGACAGGACCTCCCTAAGTTGCCCAGGTTGAGCTTTAATTTGCAGCCTTCCTGTCTTGGCCTCCCAGAATACCGGGATAGTTGGTGTGCACCACCAGGCTCAGTTCTGCCAGCTTTTTTTTTTTTTAACAGTTGAAGGTAAGCAGTGCAAAACCAGGTGCTCATTATATCACTGTTTCTCATACCAGAAGTGGTAAAAAGCTAAGTTTTGCCGTTATATTTTTTGCAAATTAGTATGTTTAAAATATATCAGCGTAGTGTAATTACTACAAAAGTTTCTAAATACTTAATCTCACTGTATTAACAAACGTTTCTTGAATTTACACCTGTCCACCCTCCAGTCTCAGAGAAAGATTGAATTATACATGTTTTCATAATGGAAAATGTATTCAACAATATATTCACGGAATTATCAAGTGTGAGCATCACCCAAGTTTTGCCAGCCACGCCAACACAGAGAGAACCTGGATGTGCTCTTGAGTATCTGAGACAAGGCAAAAGTGTGCCTCTGTGTGCTTAGTGTGAACGTGCTTCCTGGTTGATCTGTTTCTTCGGGAGCCCCATGACTACTATGACGGCTTCCCGTGTGTATAATGTATCAAATTCTCCCTCTGCTGATTTCCTCATCTCGCTTCCTCCCATTTATTTATGCGTTCCCACAACAGAGGGAAAATAGCATTTTCAGTCACTTGGAGGAGAGTTTATTTTGTGGCAGTACCTCTGGGATCTGGCATGCTCTAGAAGTGGAAAATATTTCCTTTGATGTCTCCAAGATGGTGATTTGCAGGGTTCCAAGGCAGAGACCAGAAGGGTGCACATGTAGAATCGCAGCACTTTGGAGGCAGGCCCAGTACCATTCTCACCCTTTCAAGGCTAATCCAGACTGCTTTGTCTGAAGCCGTTCTTTATTAGCAGATGTTAGGACTTTACCTCCCGAGGATTCTAGTGGAAATTTATTTCAACATTCTGCTGAAGGAGAACGATCCCAGTCAATATTCACAGCACACAGTAATAAAGGTACATTTTCAGCAGCACAAAGGAAAACCACATCCCAAAAAGCTGTCA